AGACGTGTGGGTGGAAAATTAGCTAGATGCCAATAGCCCTCCTTCTGCACTGACCTTATGGTCTGCAGGATTGTTTCTCTCTCCATTTTCTCACTCCCTCTCCCAGTGGCTGCTGCAGTTTTCCTCCTTCTTCAATCTGCTCTTACGGAGGTGCAACCAGTGTCACTCATGGCTTAACTCTGTCCAGCGGCAGGTCCTTTTGGGAGCTGTGTGAAACTGGCTTTGATCTGACATATGGAAGTTTCTTTTCATAAAGACCACCCTTGCAGCTTGCGCACTACCAAAAACTTGCTGACCAGGTGGGACCGTAGAGACAGGGCAGGGCTGAGGTCAAGCTGGGAAGCGAGCTGAGATCAGCAGGCCCAATATCTGGGCAGGACAGGGCTGTGGGGAGGTGGATGCTGGTCTTGCTATGGCCTCACTCCAGCAGGAGTTGATGATATTCTAGCAGGCTGAATTGTGATCCTGCGTATGGGATACCTCATGGGAGGTGAGTGCCTTCAGAGCTCAGAATCATCCTCCCATCCTTCTGAGCAAAGTGCATCCTTCCCCCTTACAGAGACCTGGGCTCGGGAGAGGCTTACTTTAGAGCGCTGCTCTAAAGCCAAGGCATGAACAGAAGAAAGGAAAGGAACATGGCACAAGTGGCCCTGACCTGAGTAAGGGGGGGTCGCACTGTTGTGAGGAGCCCTGCTAGGGATGCAGAGGAGAGCCTGGCAGGGTAGAAAGGGGCTTAATCAGGAGCCTGGCTGAATAAAGGGTGAGTACTGTCCAGAGATCAGAACCCAGAGCAAGGCCAGTCCCTCAGGAAGTTCGGTAGTGACAAGGTTCTGGGTGGCCAGAGACTGGGGTCCTTAGGGATTTGCACAGCTGCAAACAGGAGTCCAAATCACAAGGCAGTATCATATCACAGGGCACTTCCATAGTCAAGCCAAGAAATCATTTCTTAGGTCAAGATTAGGTTCTGGTCCAGCAATCACCCAGCAGGTCCTTAGCAGCAGGGCACAACTCAGGTCACAGTAGGAGTCCTTGGCCAGGTATGGACACAGCTGTGTTTGAACTGGAGACTAGTACACACCATGATAGTACACATCATGCTAGTACATCTAACATAGCACAGGAAAGAAGTGAAGGTTCAGGGCAGAGCTTCAATAGAGGATGTGGGTCCATAGGGGTGGGTAAAGGCTCCAGGTGTGGTTGGTAATGGCACTTAAAGCAAAGCACTCAGGGCTTTGTTATCTACTTAGGGGCAAAAGAGGTGGTACTGGAGATTCAGTAGAACTTTGGGTCTGAGGTCAATTGTGAGTGGGCCTGGAGAGAGACACACATACAGCATTCCTTAAGGAGGGACCAAAAGACTAAGGTTCAGCTGAACTGAACTTCTGTTGTAGGTAACAGTCTTGACTTGGGGAGTGTTACGTAATTTGTTGCTGATTAACGTAAAAACTGCTGATTCAGGAATTGACAAAAAACAATGCAGCAAACTGTGGAATAGACACTTAAATCTTTAATCCCCCTTTTCCCCAGCTTCAGTTCATCGCTTCTCATTCCCTTCCTCCTAGTTTCAGATTCCTTGTTGCACTCTCTTCTTCCCAGTCCTTTCAGTGATGCAGTAGGCAGTGTAATAGCCTGCCTATATATATAATAGCCTGCCTATATATATAATATGTAATATTATATGTAATAGCCTGCCTATATATATAATCTATATAAATGTTTCTGTCTGCCAGTGGTTGCTGCTTACTAGATTCCTCTGCTCTAGTGTGCTCTCTGGGCTGCAGTTCTTCAGGGCTGTCCCTACTCCAGTGTTAGCTTCCTGCAGAATGCAGTCCTACCAGGGTGACTCTGGCCTGTGTTGGTTGCCCATGGCTGCAGTGCCTTAGACATATGTCCTCTGGCATGGAGCACCTCCTCCCAGGAGTGTGTCTTTGTCTGTGCTCCCAACATCTACTTCCAAATATCTCTTCTATTTTGTTTCTCCAAATATACCTCTCATATGTCCCCTTTTTGTGTTTCTAAATTTTTTGTTTTTTGGGTCTACTTGCATGTCCTCTGTCCCTAGCAGATACCACCTTTTCTTAATTACATTTGCGACACTGCAGTGCTGCTACATTTTCTAATTAAATCTGGTGCACAGTGAGTTGTTTTCATCCATTATAGAGACACCTGCAGCTGACCCAGGACAGTTGAGGGCTTTGTCTATAAAGATCACCCCTGATACCCAAACTGTGCCAATTTCCAGTACAGATTCCTGGGCCCATGAGAACAACATATATGGGAGAGCTCCTCCAGTGAGGCTTGTCATTGCTATTAAGGCTATTAAGCCCCTATTAGGGCTTACTCTTGCCCTCAGAGTTCTAACACTATTTCCTTTTTCATGACTTCTATAGCTGATTTTATTTTCTATGTATTTATTATTTGTCAGTGGATATCTCTTCCACAGTTTTGTCCAGTTTCCTTTTAAAATCATGTAAGATTTTAGCATCCCATCAGTTGGGAGAAGCATTAAACTAAGTATCTTGATTGTGACCCTTGCCCAAGGTACTTTCCTTGCCTGCATCAGGCCAAGAATCTCATTGTACTGGAGGACCCTTTAATGCATAAGATAACCTTTGGATACAGTAAAGAAGACACTCAGAAACTGTAAGGTATTGGTTAAAATACAGTTTACTGGAGCTGACACAAGAAGGGAAAAGGATATAGCACAGATAATTTCACATCCCATCAGAAGCTGAACACCCTAAGTTGTGTAATTTTGGACAGAGCTTTAGTCATGGCAGATTGCATAGATCCCATCCATACAGAGGTTCACTGGCATTGTGGTCTACATGTTTTGCCAGGACATTCATAGAAGTAAGCAACACTGTTGATTATCTCTACTGTTGAGCAAGAATTTATATGTGAGTGGGCCTGGAGATATATATTATATATTATTATATATATAGATATATATTATATATATTAATGTTTATATGGATCCATGCTGTTTTTCTTCAAGATAAAGAATGTGCCAGAGGCATCATCAGCTGTTGCCATTCTGGGGCTGTATACATGGGTTTAACCTTCTGGTTTGATCTTTGGCCTACCTCACCGCTACATATTTGGTTGGGAACCACTGATCTATGGCTATAGTATTGGGAAATGTAGCACTTAATCCCTTATCGGGCCCTTCTAGCCCTACTGTCACTTGTGGCCCTCGGTGTCCTTCCCTTGCTGAGCAGACTGACACTTGCTGCTCCTCAACAGTCATCTTTGCAGTTTATTTTCCAGACTGAAGAATCTTAGATCATGAGCCACAGGAAACAGCAAATAAACTGCTCCACATCCAATCAATATTTCATAGAATCATAAAGGTTGGAAAAAAACCACCAAAGTCTAGTTCAACATGCTGTGCTTTTCCAGGTAACTTTTGAGAGCCCAGAGTAGCTCTGAACCAGGATATTCTCTTGACTGCTCTTCCTCTGATGACTATGACACCACATGTGGAGTCTTGTAACTTCAGCCATAGATATGGTTTGCTTAGAAGAAGATAGCCAAACGTGCAGAGAAGTGCAGAATAGACTCAGATGGTCTCCAAATGATTCTGTGATGGTTCCTTCTACAGATGATGTGAGAAGGAAAGGTACACTTAGTTCAGAGAGCATTTCTCATGAGGCATTCAAAAGAGTGTGATTGCACCTGGCTGTTTTCATTCCATGGACCAGTAGAAGCGCTGCATCTCTAAGCACACAGTACTGAGACGATATGAGGTGAAGTGAAGAGACAGAAGGCAATGTCTTCACATAACAACTTCAGTCATGGTATCAGGGAACAAAAAAGACTACTGGACAATACCTGGACTTGGGATTCATTTCTCTTATCCCATGCTGGGCTTCAGAGCTCAGAGGCACTTTTGTAGTGCCCTGCTCTTTCTGAAAGTCGATAAAAATCATTTTTTATCCTTAGTGACACTTAATGGCCTTTTTAAAACAAGTCAAATGCTTCCATTTCCCAGTTAAGACATTAGGTGGACTCTGTGCCTTGGATACCCTCTTGTGTATAGTTTTGGGAATTCATCATTTCTGCCTTGATTCTCTTCATCTTTTGCTTTGAAAAGATCAAACAATTGGATAGTTGCTTTTTTTAGTTCACGCTATGTATTAAATACTTCCAATGTGGATACTTTTACTGTTATTGTACCTAGAAAGTGCGGAGTGACATACCTGTGTATTTCAGTTCCATGTAACTGCTTAGTAACCTTACACACTCTGCTGCTCAGGACAATATTTTACCAGTCCTGCCTTTTTTCCTTTGCCATTTGTTAGCTTGTTTGGTTTTAGTTTGTAGCAAAACTTTATTGACTGCTTGTCAAAAACTTGAAATTTCATAGTTCTTGAAATACTTCTTTTTCGCTTGAATCCTTGTGCAAACTGTAGCTAATCCTTTGTGACCCTCTTGGGAAGACCAGTAATTGCATTTCTTCCATTTGTAATGGGTATGAAATGTGTTTCACTGCTGCTAACGTCATCATTTCAAGTTATAGTTAGTGCTGACATGGCACATGTTTGAGGCAGCTCTGAAGTACTGAAGTATCAGTATTTTTTCAGTATTAATACTGTAATTTGCAATTCTGCATGTGTATCCCAGCAAAAAACTCTGTTATTAACACCGGTAACCATTATAATTGGATAAAATATAACCTAAAGAGCTTTTCCTCTAAAGACTGTGAAATAGCAGATAACGTCTCTAGAGGAATGTCACATTAGGCAATGGAAAGATTTCTTCATGTGATTCTTGTCAGCATGGGAAAGCTGAAGCAGTCTGCCTTTTAATACTTCTCTCATATTTTTAAAGTTCTATCTTGTGTGCATCACATTGATGTATTTACTGAGGACCCTTAGAGGATTTCTGTAAAAGTTCTCTGCAAATGTTGTAAATTCAAATAATTTTGTTATTTGATATGCTGTATTGTGAGAAGCTCAATTTAAGAATAGGAGCTATAGGGTTTAACCTTGATTAAACCCAGTTACAAAAAAAGTCTTAAAATATTTAGTGACTCATCTATGGGTACATTCTGGTTGTGAAAATAGAATCCATTTTCCAGCTTAATCACTTCTGTCAATAATTATTACCCACTATATCATATTTTTCAGGTTGTGTAGTACAGTAACCCAGAATAGATAATGACATGTTTTGTTTGCGAAGCTTTTATTAGAATAAATAGAAAGACCATTAATTAGCATTCACAAAATCAGTGATATATCACTGGGATGAAAATGGGAAATAATATCAATCAGGAAGATGTTTTGTTTGGAGATGATTTAAGGAGAAATGGTAGACTTTCTGTATGCTCCCTCAGAAAAAAAGTTACACAGCCTTAAAGTATTTGCAGCACAAATAAGTCCAAATAAGACAAATGGTCTGCTGAAGTTAAAAATTTCATCTGCAAATTGTCCAGGCATGATAAGGATGATTGCCAAGAATGATTGCCCAGCCAATTCAATGGAAAGGACCAGGATTTTCCTGAAAGCTGTGTTCATTTCAGAGAACTCTTATAGAGAAACCACATTCTCAATAACAATGACAGGACTTCACAAAAAAACAAAGCACTGGCCTTGTTTCCCAAGTTATTCAAGCATATTGGAAACATATACACCTTAGATATGAATCCTGAATGTAAGCTGAGAATAAATTCCTGCACATAAAGATCTGAAATTTCACATGCTTCTTTAAGAATATCTCCCTAGATATTGAAGGCTTTCCACTTGGATGAAATATTGCATTGAAATTATGTTACAATACTACAGTAAAGAGGTTTGATTTCTGAGGGGAAGGTAAGCATTATTTCAAGCTCTTTCTCTCTTTAGGGAGACCAATATCTACCAAAGAATAGAATAACATTGGTTGGGTTGAATCTGATCAAGAAGAGGAATGGGTGGTCAGCCCTGAACTCTTCTAACTCAAGGGAATGCTTGATGTTTCCAATTGCCCCTGTTGCACCTGCCGCCTCAGTGCCCTCTTCATTGACTTCCATGAACGCCCCATGGACAGCATCAGAGATCATCAGGTTATCTACTGAAGAGATGCCAGTCAGGTTGGCTGAACGGCTGAACAGGTCAGTCATTCCCAAGGCCATTAATATAGATGTGAGGTTATATTTTTCCTCAATCTTCATGCGGGGCAGGTACACTTTCATGCTCTTCTTTTCCATTGCATTGGTACTAGTCCACTCTCTGAGTTTTTCAAAGTTAATTGTTTTCTCAATCTGCAAAGAGAGGGAAAGAATGAAATACAGAAGGCAAGAACACAGTGGCCATAACAAGTGTATTAATACCACTTGTTACTATTTTTTTCATTTATTTGTGTGCACAACAGAAGTGACACAAGCGTAAATCTAGTTGTTTATCCTTTATGCTTCCTCCTGACTATAGCCTACATATCATCTGTCTTGATGAAGTTCTCCAAAACTTTGTCATCTGAAAATTTTTCCAACAGATCAGATGCCCTTCTGAAAAATCAGGTTTTGATGATGTCAAATCAAATTTGTGCTCATTTGCAGATATTTGCAGATGTTTGCAGCTAACTTTTCAGCAATGCTGTTTGTTTTCTGTACTTCTTATATTTTTCCTATTTTTTCTAATTCAATGAGAAAAGATCTTTTAAAATATCCCTCGTATTTACAAAAAAAAAAAAAAAAAAAAATTGAATTTAATTATTTGTAGGGGTGACTCTTGTGAAAAAAATCTATTAATGGTCATCAACAGAATAATTGGTCCCTGTGACTTGATAATAGTGTGTGAACATTACTTGATCTATGGAAATTGAAATGTCTTCAAAGGAAAAAAAAAATCCTGCTAACATATGTGTCTCTAGTACCTGATGGAGATAACTGCATATACCAACATCCCCTCCTGCAGGACTGCAGCAGCCCTTTGTTTTTTGTTAGCTGTGCTCTTTATTTAATAACATCGAGGCCAAGGCTCTCCTTAGAGGCCAACCTCTGCCTGAGCACCTGGAAGCACCTGGGCCACTGTTGTGCTCTCCTGCCTGGGCAGCACAGCACAGCCAGGGGGTGAGAGGACAGCCTAAGGTCTGAAGGCAGCCAGCTCCCATTCAGCTCAGAACTAGTGGCCTTCCCCCGCCAGGGCCGTACCCGCTCCAGGCCAGAAACCTCATCAGGCAACAGCACCAACATGCTCAGCTCTCCGCTGGCGTAAGGGAGCTCCAGGATCTTCATTTTCTCTGCAGGCAGCGTGGCCACATTAAAGGTATTGTTCAGACACATCATTTGCACAGGTTTGCTTTCTTGCTGCGAAACAGAAGCATGAGGCAATGTGAGCAGGGAGCAATTTTTCTTGAAATTTCCCACTTGCAGTGCCCATGTCCCTACCTTTGTCATTCTGAAGGGCATTTCCTGAGTGTCTTCTGTATTAAATGCTGTCTTCCATATCCCTTTGAAGTAAACGGTGTTAATAAAGACCATCATTGTACCAAAATCAATGGAGCTTGATACAAGCAAATCTTTGATCTGTCCTGTGAAAAGGAAGCAAAGCAGTGAGTGACTAGGCATAGCCTGTCTGGTTTGCATGAATGTCTGCAATGGAGGGCATGGTGAGTTCTGTGGGAGATTGCTTTCACGGCAATAATCAAGTGCTGTTCCTTGGTCTGCCTTTTCTAGACATTTTGAAGAGAGGAAGACAAGGGTATAGATTATGGTCGATAGGAATAAATGTCAGTTATTTTTTAGTTCTTACCATTTGTCTCTTTTTCCACCCAGGAGTTTATGAGCTGCCTTGCTTCTTCAGCAGCTGTTCTGAAGTTAACTTCTTCCACTCCTCCTGTATAGAACTTCCTTGCACAATTTAAGTATTCCTGTAAGCAGACGAATTGTTTGACTGTTAAGAACTTTAAAATAGAAGAATGTGAAATGCAAAATTAATGAAATGGAGAATGATGGTTAAAAGAAACTTCTATCCCTACTCTTGAACAAGTCCAACAGTTCTCTTGCTGTAACTGAATCTTAAAGCTGGACAAGGACACTTCACATATTTAGATTTGTCACTTTTGTCTTCAAACAGGATTCCAAGTTAAAATTTTGAAATAGTTTCTTCATTTTACCATAAAACCTTCTGTTGGGCAAACATTATTGAAGACAGACAATACTCATTTCCTCATCTTCATGCCCACCTTTTCTTTTGAATTCTGTATTCTTACATTCCTATTTTTTTATTTCAAAACTAAAACTTTCTTGAAGTGAGATATTTTATGTGTAGCTTTAAAAAAGATGAACAAAATATTTTAGTCAGTTTCAGTCTCACGCTTTCAAGTCATTTTCTTCCCTTACAAATCACCTTTTTCATTAGAAGACCTTTTTTTAATGAATGAACAGCAATTCTGATTGCTCCCTGTAGCAATTGCTGCATGGGCATGTATTGCAGAGTCACAGAATCTTAGGGGCTGGAAGGGATCTCTGTAGATCATCAATTCAAACCCCCTGCAGGGGTTCCCTACAATAGGTTGCACAGGAAAGCATCCAGATGGGTCTTGAGTATCTCCAGAGCTCTTATGCTATTGCCTGGCCTCCTCCTGAGAGCCACAGAAAGGTTTGGACTCATTCTGTGGCCCAAACCAATTCCCACTGTGGCTCACAGAAGTGCTGAGTCCCTGGCGAGCCCAGTGGGCAATCTCAGTAAGGTTAAGACACACTTCAACTCACCGGAAGAACTGCAAATGTTTTGTCAACGTAGAGTTTGTCAGCAATCTCGAGTGAGTATGTAGCATTTGGCCTGGTAATTTCTGAGAGAAAGTCCTTGAACAAATTGTGGATGTATTCAGAAGAGCCACACTGAGGTGATGACAGGGAAACAAGATGATATATCAGATTAGCTTCTCCTTATCTACCAAATCAGACCCAAAGGACTGTCCCCATCAATAACAGGCCATAGTGGAATTTACCCACAGACCTGGGTTGATGATGATGCATTAAGCAGATAAAAAAACCTATCTCTGAGTCAGTTTCCCTGGCTTTCAACAAGCATGAGTTAGACCCACTTTTCCTCCCTCCACAGATCTGCTTGGTTTTAGAGCATTACCATCACTTTTGACAGTCTGAAACTGCTTGGAACAGAGGCAGAATAGTTCTAGTTTTGTCCTGAGGAGAACATAGGAACAAAAGGAGAGAAGTTATGTCTTTACCTGAGAGTCAGTGGTGCTTCCAGCTCCTGTAATGCTATCAAAATGAAGAGCCTGCAAGAGAAAATGCCAGTGAGAAAAAAACACAAGCATGACCAAAAATGTTGTACATTTAAAATTTACATGTGATGTTTGGAGTAGAGCTGTTAGCTCAAAAACAGAAACAAAAAAAAAAGCCCACAACAAATGCTAGATTAGATGAACTAAAAGGCCGCAAGTGAGCTTGCAGCCGGTGCATACTTCATGTCAAAGAAATTGGAAATAGCCCTATTTCTTAGATTATATTTTTTTCAGTGAGCATCTGTAAGTTAACTTATTTGTGTATTATGCAGTGCGAATAATGTTCTCTCTCTTCCTTTTTTCCCAGGGTTTTATCTTTTTAATACAAAAAATAAAAAATATAGAAAAAATAGATTATGTAGAAGATGTCAGAATTTAGAAAAAAATAATACAATCCCCTGACTATGATCCATCCGGTGAATTAAAACATGTGAGAGCCTCATGAGTAGACAATGTGTTATTACTTAGAAGGAATAACAAGCAGAACTAGAGTCCACTGTCCACGTTACACCAGTGTAAGTAACTCACCTTCTTCATCTGAGATTCAGTGTTACCTCTTGCCCCCAAATAGACCATGGCCAGGGCTGTAAGGATGCTCAGAGGGGAATACAAGATGTTCTCATTGACATGATGGACTTTCATCTCGTTGAAAACATCGAAACAAAATTTTGTATTTGTTACACTGATGGAATCCATTCTGAAATCGGTGTTGTCTAAAGCAAACATTAAAATATATTAGTTGTATTGCAAGGAAGTCAGTGCACTTGAACTTTTGTACACAGTGCACAGCTTATTTTCAGTAAGTAGAATTCAGTAGTGTGGATTTAAAAGGCAGATAAGTGTGGATTTAAATGGCAGATATGTTCTTGGATTTGTGAGCAATCAAAATCCTGTATAGCTACCAGTTGTGTGTAGGCTGGTGACTGTTTTATTTGAAATTTGAGTTATCCTCTGTACATGTGTACTGTGTTGAAGACTTGCCTTGAAAGAAGCTTATTGACAATCATTTCTCATCTTGTACAGAAAAGAAAACATACACAGGTTTGTTCTAAGCCTTCATTCATCTGAGGCTGCAGACCAGACTCTTTACTATAGTTTTTAACATCACTTTTAAGGCCTGTTAATAGATCAGCCCTCTGTGATCCAAACAGCAGTTACTGACAATTTAAAGTCGGTAGGTGTGGAAAAATGCCACGAGTTTTTACTGGATTTACTCTACCTGCATGTAAATGGAAGCTGGATTCTTATACCAACCACTTTATCAGAGGTCTCAAACCTCATCATTACTTTCTTCTTAAAAATAGATTAGGGGAATGGAAGCACAGTGGTAGAAAGAGATAATGATTTACCAAACTCATCTGCTTTATGACAAATGTCTATTAACTAGTACGTGTTCCATTCTGGGTTGACTTAATTATACCTCACTTTTCAAAAATTGTTCTTTAATTTTATTGGCACCTTTTTCATAAAATCCACCTTTTAATAAAACAGCAATTGTTTAGTCTTGTTTCATTTGCAGATACTTCACATCTTCAGTATTTAAACATTTTTTTCTGCCTTTTTTTCTGACATTCTTGTGAAATTTTCCCTGAAGTTTCAGCACATAGCATTTTATCTAACAGTGAAGGAAAAAAAACCTCTTTAGTAAAGAAGACAACATAGAATAGACAACAGTGTTGTAAAGCCAAGTGCAGCAGTAAGGTGTTTATACTGTTCGTATCTTCCCATTTTGTCACAAGCAGAGAGAATCTTCCTAGGGCAGAATTTTCCAAGTGCAGGGTAAATCCAAGATATTCTGCCAAATGTTTCATTGTGTGGAACCAGTACATTCATGTGTTCCATCTCTCTCTTAATTGAATCACATCTGTGATTTACTAAGCTTTACTTCATACAAATACTTTGACTTCATACCTGGCAAGCTGTGAAACAGTACAGTAATGCAGAACACACATGTGAAGGTGAGAATAGATTTTTTAACAAGTCATCCTTTAATTGTTTGTTTTGAAACTGTTTTTGATCACAAACCACAAACATGAAATTCCATCAACATTTTTGTAAGTTTTATGATGATTAAAAAAAAAAAAAAAAGGTTTAGAACATCAATCATAACCAAAAGAAATGCTTACCTTATCAGCTTCACGTGTGATGATAAGAGTACAGCTTCTCAGCTGTACGTGGTACAGCCTTGTAGAACTCCTTGAAATATATCCTGTGTAATGTCATGACACGCCCCAGGCTGCCTGTTCTGTGTTTACCAAACCAAATGATGGATGGAACTCAATGTCAGAAACAAACTTTTACTTGGTTGAGGTTCATTAGGTACCAAAAAAGAAAAAAGAAAAAAAAAGAGGGAAAGAAAGAAAGAGGGAAAGAAAGAAAGAGGGAAAGAAAGAAAGAGGGAAAGAAAGAAGGAAAGAGGGAAAGAGGGAAAGAGGGAAAGAGGGAGAGAAAGAAAGAAAGAAAGAAAGAAAGAAAGAAAGAAAGAAAGAAAGAAAGAAAGAAAGAAAGAAAGAAAGAAAGAAAGAAAGAAAGAAAGAAAGAAAGAAAGAAAGAAAGAAAGAAAGAAAGAAAGAAAGAAAGAAAGAAAGAAAGAAAGAAAGAAAGAAAGAAGGAAAGAAAGAAGGAAGGAAGAAAAAGAAAGAAAGAAAGAAAGAAAGAAAGAAAGAAAGAAAGAAAGAAAGAAAGAAAGAAAGAAAGAAAGAAAGAAGGAAAGAAAGAAAGAAAGAAAGAAAGAAAGAAAGAAAGAAAGAAAGAAAGAAAGAAAGAAAGAAAGAAAGAAAGAAAGAAAGAAAGAAAGAAAGAGAAAGAAAGAAAGAAAGGAAGAAAGAAAGGAAGAAAGAAAGAAAGAAAGAAAGAAAGAAAGAAAGAAAGAAAGAAAGAAAGAAAGAAAGAAAGAAAGAAAGAAAGAAAGAAAGAAAGAAAGAAAGAAAGAAAGAGAGGAAGGGAGAGGAGAGGAGAGGAGAGGAGAGGAGAGGAGAGGAGAGGAGAGGAGAGGAGAGGAGAGGAGAGGAGAGGAGAGGAGAGGAGAGGAGAGGAGAGGAGAGGAGAGAGGAGAGGAGAGGAGAGGAGAGGAGAGGAGAGGAGAGGAGAGGAGAGGAGAGGAGAGGAGAGGGAAGGCAAGGCAAGGCAAGGCAAGGCAAGGCAAGGCAAGGCAAAAAGAAGTAAGAGAGAAAGGAAAAGGTAAAGAAAGAGAGAATGAAAGAGGGAAAGAAAGAAAGAAAGAAATCCCTAAATGAAATGAAGGATATCATGTGGCACCTTGGAGAAAAGGATGGAGCATACTGAAAAGACTGAAACAAAAATATAAAAGCTGTTCATTGAAATTTGAGTACTAAGTATGATTCGAGTACAGAAGCAAATGCTGTGGCATAGATAGTGAAAACAAAGCAAAAAAAAAGTGTGATATTAAGTTATGCACAATGTCTCTAAGGAATTCTAAGTTAATTTTCTTTTTTTTTTTCTTTTCTCTATAACGAGTACTGACATAACGAGTACTGACACTCCAGATCCCTCTAGCAGTCACCATTCTGAGAATATAAAAATGCAGTACATGCAGGACTGCTTGCTGCTCTGTGCCCACCCTGTACTTACTGCAACTTTTCATAAATTCACAGAATTGAAGAATCATTTTAGTTAAGGGGCTCTTGAAGACCGTTGAGTCCAACTCCACTGCAATGAATAGGAACACCTATAGTGAAAACTTGTATGTAATTGTCTAGTTCTTGTGCCTGGTGCCACTTAAACCTGAATTGCAAAACATAAAGCATTTTGTAGAGCAGTCTAGCATTACTAGAGCAGTCTGACTCGGGGAACTTGTGTGCCAACATGGTCTGTGCAGATTGTCAGTAGAAAACTATCAATAAGCATATTGTATAAATACAAATTAATTTTGAAAGCAATATTCAGAGCGTTTGTATTTAAAAAAAAAATGGAACTGAAGAAAGATGTATTGTGGCAAAAGAGATTGAGCAAAGAAGAGACTTCTGTTGCTTTTTAAATTCAGATATTAGGATATTCAGACTGGAGTCAGAAGCTACAAGGAAAGCATTCAAACTCACTGCTACAATTTAGAATGTTGTTTCAAGTTGCTCTTTTCAAACAAGTCACAGCGTCACATGTGAGTTTCAAAATGTGTCTTTTGTACATTCAAAGAACATTTTTACAGATTGCCCACAAGTAACTTCATGTCACATCAGGTGAAACATTCATGGTCTGCAGGACAGTCATAATATACAATAGCAAGCATAAAGCAATCTCATAAATCCTTTGAAATAAAAGAATGGGCAGCAAACAAACTACTTTGACCTCTGAGTATGCTGTGATTTTAAAATAGAACTCCAAAGTCAATAGACAAAATGCCTCTGAAATTGTCTAGAACAAATTATGCTTTCTGGAGAAAATCCTTCTAGTTTTCTGTGCAAGTGGAAAGCCTCTGAATAGCCAATACCTTTCTGCCTAATAGTTAGTCTTGTTCAGCTGAACATCCTAGAGCAATACTAATAATGAAGACCTCTGTCTGTCTGATACATTTAGGTACAACTAATATGTTACATGGTACCATCTATAAGCCAGTCCAGTCTGGTACAGACATTGCTATGCAACAGCAATACTTTTGAGTAAGGATCGTTTGGCCTTAACTCATATTGGTAGCCAATTACATCAAATCTGTTATGAAGGGAGTGAGCTATTCTCTTGCTTGAACAGTACTTAAATTATGACTGCTGTGAGTTCCATTTTGCTGAAGATGATATCTGTGCTGGTGGAAAGACATATCAACTGACTGAATGTGTCTGTTCATGGTGAATATCTTTAATCACACAATTTAGAGCACTCCCCACACTGCAAGATGTTTCTGTGGCTGCTGCCCCTTCTCCCTTTCTTGCTTAAGGCTGTTTTCTGTTCAGTCTTTAACACAGTGCAGCGGTCCATTGTTGTGTACTTGACAGCTCAAAAGTCAAAGGATTATCCAACAAGTAGTACTGTGTCACTTCTACCTTGTAAGCATGCCTTAAATCTTTTTACTATCAAACTCTCTAGCAGCATGTTACAGCTTGCTGTAGAAGAGCCCCATGGGCATTTGTGTACCATTTTCCTGAATCATGTGCTTGGGTCATCACAGACAGCCTACAGCTCAGGATCTACAAAGATACTACAATTTTGTCATAACAGCGAATTTAGAGCACTAATGCTGTTAGTAATTATATGGCTTTCAAAATATCTCTGAGTTAAATATACTCAGCGCTGAGAGGAATATTTTTGTTTTGAGATAGAAAAGGGGCAGCAGATTCCTCCAGAAGAAGTTAATACACATCCCTGCTATTGCTGTTGGACTTATTCTTTCTGTCAAATGAATGGTTAATCTAAAGTGAGTTGCAGAATTTAAAAATCAGTCCACAATAAATGAAAATTTGGATCGTGGTCAGTCATCAGTGCTAATCATCAGAGTATTAGCGTTCTTGGGTAGTCTACTTATCAAGTTTAGATCTGTTGTGAAGTCAAGCAAGATTAGGCAACCCTTCCTGTAGGTGAAATGCTTTCTGGGATAGCTGATGGATTATGCTGTTATGCTGTCCAGCATAGCTGTGCAATGCTGCACAAACACAAAAGGATGTGTTGTTGTGACATGTCCTTTTTTTGACAATGCTTGTCCCAAGAAAGAGGTCAGCTAAGACTTAACTGCTATTTGCTTTTCCAGGTATTTCACTGTGGTCCTGGCCCTAAACTAACAGGCTCTTTGACATCTGATCCTTTCCAAAAGAATATGTAGTCCAGGTCAGCTCATTCTATCACAAAAACATTTGCACAACTAGAGATTTTGTTCTTATTTATGTTTCCACTGTTTCTCTGGTAGCAACAAGCTTATTGATCATTTAGCGTTTGTCCTGCCCACACCAGTGATTTCTTAGTTGCTGTTGCAGAACTTGATGCAATAACTATCAGTGGTGATTTCCCACTCAGTTGTTCTGTGGGGTTCTGTTGCTTCCTTAGTCCAAAGAAAATCAGTGTCTGGTCAAGCTTTTTCAGACAGAGGCTCACAGTGTATCAGACACCTTTCTGCAGCAGTGCTGTGCCATTCTGAAGAGATTGACATCGTTCCTGCACTGCTGCCTTAGCCTGTCTCAGGTGGTGACACAGGTGGTGACAGAGATGTGTATCTCAGTGTTGACAGAGATGATTACTCCAGTGTTCATTCACTAGAGGCACATTCAGAAAGACGTCTGAGTGGCTAACACATAGAAAAGTACACAGAACATCCTTAGTTGGAAGGGTCCCATAAGGATCATCAAATCCAACTCCTGGCTCCACACAGCAGCACCCAAAATTCAAACCCTACATCTGAGAGCATTTTCCAAATGTTCCTTCAACTCAGGCAGCTTGGGACCATGCCCAGTGCCCTGGGAAGTCTGTTCCAGAGCCTGATCACTCTCTTCGTGACCCCCAACCTGACCCTCCCATGACACAGCTCCATGCCGTTCCCTCAGGTCCTGTCAGTGTCACCAGAAAGCAGAGCTCAGCACTGTTCCTCTACTCCCCTCAGCTCCTCTGCTCTGGGCTGAGCAAACCCAGGGACCTCAACACGTCTTGCCCTCCAGACTCTTCACCATCTTTGAAGCCTTCTTTGGATGCTCTCTAGTAGTTTTATGTCTTTCTTACATTGTGGTACCCAACCTGCACCCAGTGCCAGAGGAGCAGCTGCACAGCACAGAGCACAGTGGGACAACACCTCCCCTTGCCTGGTGGCAGTTCTGGGCCTGGTGCACCCCTGGGTACGGTTGGTCCTTGGGGCTGCCAGGGCACACCGCTGGCTCAGATGCAGCTTGCTGTCAGTCACAATCTCCAGATCCTTTTGGGTAGGACTGCTCTCAGTGTCTTGTCCTCCAGTCTATACACACAGCCAAGGCTGCCCCATCCCAGGTGCAGAATATGGACCTACTTTTGTTAAATTTCATGTGGCTGGAGATTTCTGAGCTCTCTGATTTGTCATCTCTCTGTAAGGCCTCTTTACTCACAAGGGAGTCAATGGCACTTCCCAATTTGTGTCATCCATGAACTTGCTTAGTATGCCTCAAGTCCCATATCCAAGTCATTGATGAAAGCATTGAAGAGAACTGGCCCTGAAATTGAGCCTGCAGAACCCCACTAATGACTGCCTGCCAGCCTGATGTAACCCCAGTAACTATAATCCTTTGTGCCCAACCTATCAGCCAATTGATCACCCATCACAACATTATGTTTTTGCTTTGGTCTATGCTGGACCTTTTATCCCCCATGACTTACCCACTAAATCTTCTGTCAGTTGCTGCACAGTCATCTGTCAAAGAAACAGGATCTTAATACTCCAGAAAATAAAAATGCCAATAGTCTTTGGTAGGCTAGAGCAAAAATGCCTGGAGACACAGGAAGGTTTTAAAAATGTATTTATTTTGTTCATCTTCCCACCAGGCCTGCCACCCCCTTCATGGAGAACACTTTTATCCTGTCCTTTGTATGTTCTGCCCCCTGCCTGTTAAGCAGTGGCTGGGGCTCGGCCATCAGTATTTTGTTACAATTTTTGTTCAGTATTGCTGAATTTCCACTCTTTCCTGTCTTGTTTTCCCTTTCGAGAATGGGAAAGCTTTATATTTGCTTGTAAGCAAGAAGCCTTCACTTTTTTTCCCATTTCTCCATTTTGACCTCTGCTGTTTTTAAGATCATTGAGGCATATCTTTGTATTTCAAGCACTTTCCAGTCTGATAATCATAGAAAGGTAAATGCAAATGTAATCTTTCTGAAGTCTTTATATTGTTTAAATGTACTGGTTTTTAAATTTAGCAGACTGCTTCTGAGTTAGCAGAGGGTTGTTAGAGTTGGGGTAGTATGGTTAGTTTGGACTTGATCTTTTCCAATCTGAGCAACTCTATGATTCTATGATTCTGTGATTCTATGGACATAAGAAATGCAAAAGGTATATATGCTACTGATGGTAAACTTTGAGATGCTGATATTTCTCTTATCTTGGAACTGTTTTTATCACTACTTCATTTCTAAAGGCAAAAAATAAAGCACACTCGGTAAAATAGCACACTTGGTAAAATATTTGTTTTTACCATTGAAAAACAGCTGTGTCTGTATCATGAGTATCCTCATAATATACAAAAAAATGTGGATGTCAGATCAGTAGCACCAGCTGTTTCTACTCTTCAGATCACCTTTTATCATTGACACTGAAGTGGTAACACTAATGTGGAAATAGGCAATGTTAACATCAGAGTTCCTCCTCTCAAGACTCTGGATAGGGAAATGCTTTGCCTTGTAGCTGTTGATCTATTTAACCTTTTTTATGCCTTTCAAGTTATATGATTTTCAGATTATTTCATCATTTAAAATGATGACATCATCTGGAGTTGGACTAAATGGTCCCCTGAGGCCTCTTCCAGCCCCTATGAATCTGTGATTCTTTATAAAAGGGTAAAAGTGTTAGAATAGTTGTTCCTTGAAAAATTTACCAGAAAAATGGCCAGGTCATCTTTAATACCTGTTGGAACGACACAGAAAAATGCATGGGAATAACCTTGTATTCTATTGTGATACTTGTCATCTGAATACAGAGAAGAATCAAGCTGGTTGTAGGTCTTTGGTGAAGTTCTTGAAAACAGATACTCCTAAAAATGTCATAAATGCCTGAAAAACTTCATATCTGCATGCTTTATTCATTCTAAGAATACATTTTTGTGCTAAATCACATTTTACTCACAGTTGTTAAAACATAAGGATATTTTTCAGAGTGTGGTTCAGAAAGCTAATATAATTCACATGAAAAGCGTTTGTGGTTTTCCTTTATTGTGTTAACCAAAACAAAATCAATTGTATGCATCTAAATCAGTAATGGGTGATTAGAATGGAAACAGAATATAATATTGAGCCAGTGGATCCATATTTGCATTTGACAATCTATACATAGGAAGAGAAGACAGAAAAAATTAGGATTCTAATTTATTTCTTAGAAGAAGTATTTTCCAACATTTTCAGAATTTTTCACCAAAAAGGTGTATCAGAATGTCCTCAAATTTGAAGTGTCTTCCAAAGATTTAAACAAAAATTTAGACAGTTCTTTTGCCCAGTGGATCTCACTGAGTTCTGGATCATAAGAACTGTCTGGATCTCCTGGGTTCAGGCTTTGAATCTCCACTCTGAGAAAAGGCATAACTGTACCTATGCAAAACTAGATCAATTTCCCTTCCCTAAAGTGGATGGCAGACTCTTCAGTACTTTGAAGAACCTCTACAAGAAATTCAGAATTAGGTGAGGAATTTATGGTGATAGGACAACTCCAGTGATAGTGAACATGTATACCATTGTGCAGTTACCCAATAAAAAAAATAAAATCGATATCATCACGAATCAATAACCTACACACCAGAAACTCTTCCACAAACATCCCCTCTAGACTGGAGATCTCAAAGCCCGTGTTTCAAGAATGGTAACATGGGTTTGTCAGCAGTATATTACCAGGGAATGGAATAAGGAAGGATCGTTGCTTTCTATGTAATGGGCTCTCAAGGACTTAAGGTCATTCCTACTATTTATTCCTTGGGTGAAAATCACTCATCACCTTCATGGCTGATAGATATCTTCATTCTCAGCATCTTGTTGGCTCAGTCTTTTCTCATATCAAACCATTCTGAAACCAGTACAAGAAGGGAAGGAGTAAGTGTTCTTGGTGCTGTCTCCTCTCCTGTGGGTATGTCTTTTCTATGGAAGAGATAAGATTATGCTATAACACTATGGTAAAGGAATTTTGTTTCAGAGGGGAAGGCGTGTATTATTGCTAGCTCTTTCTCTCTTAAGGGGACCAGTATCTGCCAAAGTAGACAATGGTGTTGGTTGGGTTGTGTTTGATCAAGAAGAGGAATGGGTGGTCAGCCCTAAGCTCTTCTAATTCAGAGAAATGCTTGATGTGTTCTATCACCCCTGTGGAGCCTGCCATCTCAGTGCCCTCTTCACTGAGTTCCATGAAGGCCCCATGCACAGCCTGGGATATTTTCAAGCTCTCTGCTGAAGAAATGCCAGTCAGATTGGCTGAACGGCTGAACAGGTCAGTCATTCCCAAAGCCATTAAGACAGATGTGAGGTTATATTTTTCCTCAATCTTCATACGGGGCAGGTACACTTTCATTCTCCTCTTCTCCATCATATTGGGATTGGTCCATTCTGTGAGTTTTTCAAAGCTAATTGTCTTCTCAATCTGAAAAGAGAGGCACAGAATAAATTGCCTGTAATGAGAATGCAACTTCTTTTCATCGCTCATTTTAATCAAGATTATTATTCAAAAAAAATCAGAAAGTTTCCCAAAGTACATCCTATCAACATCTCTTTATTTTACCATTTGTTTCTCTAGTATTTCCTCTGTCAATGCCCCTTTATTCAGTTCCACCTGACACATCCCCATCAGTACAAATAACTTCATGTGTCATACCAAACGGTATGGCAACTTCACTACGTAGCGGATTGGCCAGCTGGTGAGAGATTGCAAAAAACATGCCATGGAAATTTATATACAGTGGATAGTACCAAACAAACACAAACATTTCTGCATCTACTTCAATATTCTGAGAGCAGCTTATTTAAAATACTTGATGAGAATATTGTCAATAATATCATTAGGGATTATTGAACCTCATCATTTCTAGTAACACTTGCTGAAGAGTTTTTGTAAGAGGCCAGATGTAACTGCCTCTCAATGAAAAAAGTTGTCTATACATGCCTTTTTATAACATTACAGCAGCCCTAGACTCCTTTACCTTTCTTTTTGTTAGCTACACTTATTACTGTTATTTAATAACATCAAGGTCAAGGCTCTCCTTAGAGGCCAACTTCTGCCTGAGCACCTGAAAGCACCTGAGCCACTGTTGTGCTCTCCTGCCTGGGCAGCACAGCACAGCCAGGGGGTGAGAGGACAGCCTAAGGTCTGAAGGCAGCCAGCTCCCATTCAGCTCAGAACTAGTGGCCTTCCCCCGCCAGGGCCGTACCCGCTCCAGGCCAGAAACCTCATCAGGCAACAGCACCAACATGCTCAGCTCTCCGCTGGCGTAAGGGAGCTCCAGGATCTTCATTTTCTCTGCAGGCAGCGTGGCCACATTAAAGGTATTGTTCAGACACATCATTTGCACAGGTTTGCTTTCTTGCTGCAAAATAAGCACAAGACAGTGTGAGCAGGGGGCAGTTTCTCTTGAAGCAGGCAAATGTGCAAGCCCTTCAAGAGGAACTGGACTGGATCCTCAAGCTGTGTCTCCATTTTAATCTCTTGTCTTCAGATGTGCTTGGATGCTTGGTCTGACACAGCTTTTGCTAGCCCGCCCTGGGCTCAGCCCCATGCCCTGCCAGCAAGGGCCCCAATAGAACCATGGGCCAATGACTGTAGAATGGTGTATGTAATAGCCCTGATGGCTTTCTGTCCTGTCCAGAAGCAGTGACTGCATCCTCTACCTTTGTTACACTGAAGGGCATTTCTCGAGTATCTTCTGCATTAAATGCTGTCTTCCACATCCCTTTGAAGTAAACGGCATTAACAAGGACCAGCGTTGTATCAAGATCGACAGAGCTCGGTACAAGCAGATCTTTGATCTGTCCTGTAAGAAGAAAGCGTTTCCACAGGAAATATCCATTAATGGAGATGAGAGGAATAGTCTTTTCAGAAGTTGTTCAAGTAAAGTAGCAACGAGGAAATATATTGTAAACTCTCCTCAGAGCTTACCTTCTGTCTGCTTTTCCACCCAGGAGTTAATGAGCTGTCTGGCTTGGTCTGATGCTGTTTTGAAGTTCACTGTTTCCAGACCTGCTCTGTACAGTTTCTTCACACATTTCAGGTAAGTCTGTAAAGACAGCAGTTGTAGCCACCAAATCAGTTTTTAAAAAGACTGTGAAGGTGAAACAAAATACAGTTAAATTGTTCCATGATTTTTATAACTATGCTATGGTCATGCTGTTTTCATTGCTTATTTCCTGGACAATAGGGTTAAAACTGGGCCAGCAAAATTATTCCTATGCACGACATTTTAAGATTTTTAAGATTTTTATTACTTTACCAGGTAAGATTATCTAGCAGAAATGCTGAAATATTTTCTTGAAGACAAATCCAAAAACGGCTTCAGATCCATTAGCGAGTGTTTTGTTATAGTAAAATTCTTTCTTTTGAAGCAGTTTTCTTTTTTTTCAAAGATAACGTGTATTTGATTTAGAATATTTGTATGTTTTATTTTGAGAATGTCAAATGAAAGATTTAGACACTTTCAAAGATTGTTTTTGAGGTTTTCAAGTGAAGAAACGTACTGAAATCTAATTTTGTTCATTACTCCATTGATTTTTGAATAGTACCGTCTTTTCCCTTGAAATGCTTTCTCTGAAGGCTATTGTCACAGCTGCTGCAAAAAGCTGTGGAAGTCCACACTGAGGAGAGTTGGATTAACAGAATCTCTGGGCAGTATTCCTGGATTATGTGTTTATACAAGATTTAGCAAGAAATCACTCTGATGTACAACTCACCGGTAGGACAGGACGTGACTTTTCGGCATAGAGTCTATTGGCAATGCGGAGTGAATAATTGGCTTTTGATGTGGTGATATCAGAGAGGAGTTCTTTAAACAATATGTGCATGTTCACAGATTTGCCACACTAGGTTGGTGAAGAGAAGGAAAAAGGGTATCAATGTTAGCTTATTTTACTAGAAAGACAACTATTTATAAGGTACAAATCACATAGGAAAACACACACTATTCAGACATTAGCAAACAAAATACATTAGAGTCTAAAAGCTCCATGGGAGAGATGTTCTATACACAATTAATTACGTACAAATGATAGCATTTGCTGACACTCAGTCTTGATGATAAGAAACAGAAAATGTGAGTGATTTGTCTGACTGCATTTTGTGAATTGTTCTACATAATCCACTAAATGCTCTAGTAAAAAGAATGGAATGGAAAAGAGAGGAGAGGAGAGGAGAGGAGAGGAGAGGAGAGGAGAGGAGAGGAGAGGAGAGGAGAGGAGAGGAGAGGAGAGGAGAGGAGAGGAGAGGAGAGGAGAGGAGAGGAGAGGAGAGGAGAGGAGAGGAGAGGAGAGGAGAGGAGAGGAGAGGAGAGGAGAGGAGAGGAGAGGAGAGGAGAAAATGGAAAGGAAAGAGGGAAGTGGGAAAGGGAGATAGAAAGCGAGAGGGAAAGGGGGAAAGGGAAAGGGAAAGGGGGAAAGGGAAAGGGAAAGGGAAAGGGAAAGGGAAAGGGAAAGGGAAAGGGAAAGGGAAAGGGAAAGGGAAAGGGAAAGGGAAAGGGAAAGGGAAAAGGAAAAATCTCCTTGTCTTTTACAAGCCCCACATTGTGCTTGGAGAACCCAAGTGGATGAGGACAGGTCTGGGAGCATGGCTCCCAGAATAGTGTTATCTTTCCAAATGTATCAAGTGACCATTGAGAAAAGCACACAGATGGTTCGTGTGTGATCCTCCAGCAAGCCCTACAAGAATGCAAGCTCTTATCAATCTAGGAAGGTGTCCTGGTGCTCAAAATGTCCTTCAAATATCCTACCAATTTTTCTGGTGCAACATGTGTAACCTGCCTTCTTTTTGTGTTTGTTTGTTGTTGTTGTTTTTTGATTTAACAAATTTGAGTTTTCCACTTGGATATCCTGGGTTGAGAACATTATCTAGGGTTTGGGAAGGAGCTGGACCTATTTGAAGCACAGTCAGAAGAGTTTTAAGTTCTGTTCTCAGGGAAAAAAATGTGTGTGAGAGAAAAATAAATGTACCTTAGGTTTCTGTACCTTTGTCTGGCTGCTTCCTCCAAGTCCTGCAATGCTGTCAAAGTGAAGAGCCTGCAAATGGAAGTAGCAGAAGAAGAGATGAAGTGTGTGAAGTCCACTGAGAGTCACTAGATTTTGTGTTCAAATTCTGGGTTTGAAATAATCAATGGCTGAACTGAGAAGTTTCATGTGAGCTTGAAATTCATTTTTTTACTGCATGTTCTACTCTGAACATTTTTTGATAGGATCTTCCAATTAGTTCACATGATTTCTGAGTGTTTCATCTTTTATACGTGACAGTTTGTTCATTTTATCTGGAAGGAGTCAGGTTTGTGAGATAATATAAGCTGAAGCAGAGATCTCCTTAGTAGAAACTACTGTTACCCTTCATAGTGAAAAGCAGTGATAACTGAAAAGTTAGCTTCTGATCTAAACTTCATGGTTCAAAGTCCTTCTTCTAGCCAAGTTCAAATCCAGTGGCAAATGTACAGTGGCTGACCACTCAAGTGGAGAAAGTCTCAAAGATATTCATGGATAACTTGTACTAGTGACAAGGATCAAAATGAGCTTGTATTCATTTGCATAACTTACTTTCTCCATCTGATACTCAGTGTTGCCTCTTGCTCCCATATAGACCATGGCCAAGGCTGCAATGATGCTCAGGGGGGAATACAAGATGTTCTCATTTGTGTGCTGGACTTTCAGCTCATTGAATACATCGAAACAAAATTCAGCATTTGCTGCACTGATGGAGCCCATCCTGAAATCAGTGTTGTCTGAAACAAACAGAAATAGAACTGTGCAGTGTTGATATGTAATGCACTTGTAATGAAAAGCACTTTCTGTAGCCCAGAAGCTGCTTGTTCATTGCTGTTTCTGTGATGCTGAAACAATAATGTAAAGCCTAAAAATTCTGTGATCACTAGAAATATTCTAAAGACTGACCCATTGTTACCCAAATGCATGTTTACTTTCCTTCAGAAAGGTACTGGCTCTTTATAAAAACACTATGTTGTATTTGCCCTTTAGGAAATAGACAGTTTCACCTGTGCTTCAGTATGACAAATACAGTGTGGACTGGATGAGTTTCCCTATAGCCATCCAGAGAACTGTGGGTGATTTCTGAGACAATATAAATACATTTCATTTCTTCTATGTCTACTCTGGTCCATACTCTGGATATTTAAATCAAATGTAATCACCTCACAATAGTCTTAGTTTGTTTCAAACTGCTTCTTTGTACAATTGCTTTTCTGTAATTTATAGGAAAAATGAGAGTGAATTTCTTTGTAAATCTACCCAGTTGCTTAGATGCCAAAGTATAGCTTTAGTGGGCTTCTTCTCTGTATTCTCATTTTTTGACATTTAATCTCAGCTGATTCCATTTCTTTGTTGACAAAAACAAAAACAAAAACAAAAACAAAAACAAAAAACAAGCATATATATACCATAAATATAGAGTTTGGCTAAATTGCTTGATGCACTGTAAAGCACTGTGATTAGATCAGCCAGGTGAAGATCTTGTACATGCAATTTAATGTCATGACTTAGGGGAATTTGTTGAAATCTGTAGTCCTTCTCTTTCTTGAATCTGTGACCAAGAAAGCTGAATACTGCCCTCCCCTTTCTAAAACAGTTTAAGTTGGAGTAATAGCATATCCAGAGTTTGGAGCAGACTTACTACATGACCTGAGAGGTTCCTGGTGCTAACAACTGTAGAACCACAGGCTCTGTGAATCATCCTACTGTACCTCACCTGTGTTCTCCAGGGAGTGAGACTGACAAATCAGAAATTTTTTCTTCCAAAAATATTTTTTACATATCTGTCTTATATATGGAAAGTAATGCCTCCTATTTATTTTCATGGAAACTACAATAGATACATAGAGCGTATTCAATATTATTATTATAAGTACAATAACTTAATTTCCTTGAGCAGATTCTCAGCCACAAAACATTATTTTTCAATACAGCCACCACAATTAGCTATGCATTTTTGCCAACAGCGCACAAGAATCTGCATTTCCTGCTGGTAAAAGTCTGTACCAGTGGAGACGAACCACTGTGGCTGTTGCCACTGCTGAAATACACCACCCATTGCCTCACTGTACTCAAATCCACTTTTTGGTCTCCATAAACATTCAACAAGCATTGATGAATGTCAATGGATGCCATTTTTTCCACAAGGAGGAATTCAGTGACACACTTTGCTTCAGTTGCACTTCCATGTCAGACACCATTCTGTCAGACTTGCCCCTCTGTTCCCATCTGTCACACAGCAACAACATGTAATGGGATGCTGGTGGGAAGGTTCAGCCTCTACTGCCATACCACCACCATCTGCCTCTGATGTCATGGGCCGACATCATAAAATAGAAAGCAGCCCTTTTTTTCCTTTAAGTTCACATAATATTTCTGTGGGGTTTTCTTGGTGGCTTTTTTTTTTTTCCCTATTCAAGAATACAACTTAGAAGTTATATTTTATTTGGAGAAGTACTTACAGAAAAACATCAAAGAGGCGTGTAATAATCCAGCTTGCCAGTTGAACCTAAACAGATTCTCTGAGTCCTTGGTGATATATACAGTACCCTTTCGGACACTCCCCCTGTTAGCTTTCTAAGAGTCATCCTTTGAGTTACTACCCTTGTCATTGCCTTTTGATTCATTGTGCTTGAAACCACTGAGTAGGCCAACATTAGACTGGTACTCTCTTTGGAGAAAGCCAAATTTTATTTTGTGAAGTAAAACCTCATAGAAGAATGTAATTATTCAGGCTTTTCTTGTATCAATGTACCAAGTTTAAGTCTAACATGTCTCTACATGTGCTCTTCAGAATTTAAACTTTAATTTGATTGAGCCATATCGATAGTTAGAGCCAAACAAATAATGAATACACACACATAAAAATAAATTAAAAAAAATACTCTAAAAAAAAAAGAATAAACATAATATGCTTCAAATAAACTTAGCTCTAAAATCAGATTTAAAAAAAAAAAAAAAAAAATCAGATCAAGGGATTCTCCCAGTCAGATGAATCTAAGGATCCCAAAATATTACGAGAAAATTAGGCGTGATTGGAGAACAAGAAGACCCATCACCATTCGCCATTTAATGAGCACCCACTGCTAAAGCTGAGTCAAGAGTAATCCCATATTACCAAGGAGTGCAAGAAAGTCCATCAATCCCTGGAAACCATTCTTCTTTTTAAGACTGTATCTCCTTTCCAGCTGTTTAGTTTCTTCTCATCTCTGGGGCACTGTAATTACAGAATTTACTGTAGCACTGCTCCCAAGATGGATGGGGGAAAAGTGTGATATATATGTGATCTCTCACTACAGTATGCAGAGAAACATAAGGATGCTTCTCGTGAATGTAGAGAAAATAATGCAGTTCCAAGCAGAGCCAGCTGCAGGATGGTCATTCTATTCAGAGGATTTTGTAATACATTGCTTTCCATGTAATAAAAACAAAGCTTTATGGGTTTTTTTAAAGAATAAAATCATTCTGAAAAATGTTTTGGTCTGCCAAAAGAGTTTGAGGACTGGAGAAGCTTATAGTTAGTACTTGTTAAAAGCTCAGCTCCATCTGTTTCTGCACCTAGGCAAGATGGAAGCTTTTCAATGAAAGTTTGACTATATCTGATGTAAGCCAAAGGCTGTGCTGCATACATGTGAGAGGAGAATGCACATTTTGTTGAGACTTCAGAGCAGAGGTGTTGGGATGAATTAGAGAACTCAGTGTGGATGGGGAAGAGGAAGAGATTTGGGGAACAGTCTGAAAGTGTTTGTTGCCTTGTGAAGGCAGAGCCCAGAGTATTCAGATATTCAGAAGTGAATGCTGAACAGCCTAGTGGAATTCAAGGGATGGTTGGTGGTCAGGTTTTGATTTTCATTCTTCATAGGTCGTGACAACAAGGCCCATTGTACATGCACAAGCTATTCCCATAGATCTTCTGTACCTCCTATTTTACTATGGCAGGTAAATAAACTACCAAATCTGTCTGAAGGAACATTCATGGTCTGTTAGACAATCATAATGCACAATATCAAATATAACACAATTCTAAAAAGCTATTACTCTTTATTGAATAATACCCTTGATGAGCACTAAAGAAGAAAATCCGGCTTCTGTAAAGGCCAAGGGAATGAATAATAAAATCCCCAATTTTTGTACATTGAGGCAGACAATACGCAGTGGTTGTGGTACCCACTGGTAAAGGTGAAAGGGTGCTCCTTTATCCCAAGAAGTGTGTTTTGTGTTGCTGAAATTTAGCCACGTATGCATGTGCAGACCATGATAACTGGAGTGGCTTTCAGTTTCTACACTCAGAATGAGTATTTTTTTATCTGTCGATGTTACAGGAGTTACATGAGGGGTAGGAAAATCTACAGATAATAAGCAGCTTTCCTCCTATCTTGTTTAATGTTTCTTTTTCAATAGCTTTTACTTTATCTTGTCAAATTTTTCCTGCCCGAGAGCTTAAGTTTTGTTACAGTGTGTAGTGTCTTTTCTTATGCTCCCATTTTCACATGTTTACATCAGGGTCTCAGCTACAAGTCAGGTGGGTACTCAAACATGCCTTCAAGGCTTCCTTGAAGAACTTTCCTGGGTACCCACAGTCCTTTTTATGCTTGGTTTCAATGTCCTTGTCCTCTGTGGGCATCTATGGAGCATGCACCTGTAAAACACAGCTAGCCCTGCACATATGAATAGTGTTTTCATCTCTTGGACTAACATCCAAGATTTTCTCAATAAACATTTTGCTTTACTGTCTCCTCTAGAAGAGGACATGAAGGTGTTTTTGATATGTTCTCTCATTCAGTATGTTTGCCTTCTTTATGTACTCTACCTCTGCAATAGCACAATCACCACAACAGTTTTGCACAGTCCTCAGCACACACAACGTGGTTTTGTAATTTTAGATAGGGTGTTAGGCCAGGGGAAATCAGAGGCACCTCTTGAAATTCAAGAGTCATGAATGCAAGCAAGACAAATTGGTTGAACTCTGTTCCAGATCTGTGTTTGTCCCAGAAAGAGGTCAGCAAGGACTCTGCTGCCCTTTTCCTCTGTCAGGAAGTCCATTGTGAAGCTGTTCCTAAACCAATTCATGGGGTTTGCCATTCCTCCTTACTGTTGGCATAATCAAGGACACAGTAAGCAGTAGAAATGCAGCTCTTTCCAACATTTATCTGTTCAGACTTTCACCTTTCATTTCCTGTGGTTCATCAGCAGCTCCTGTGTAGTGCTTGAGGGTGATGTTTTCTTATGCCTTGGACCCGTTCATGCCATAGCTTGTCCATCTGCATCACATTGAGCAGAGGCTATTCTGGCATCTCTCAAAGTCCTTTAATGAACCAAGGTGTGGCCAGAACAGCCTAATTTACAGAATTTCGGATGCTTTTTGCTCCCATGTTATTTGTTGTGCTGGAGATGATCAGCTCTGTTGCACATACAGTCTTAGGCAGTTGGCAGTGGTTGACTTGGAACCACTTTGAAGTCAACCAGCACCTTGTTATAAACCACTCAGATAGTCATTGTGTCTGGCGCAGAGTAGAATTAATGTCTAAGCTGCCCTTCAGAGCTCATAGTAGCTTGTATGGCAATGTGTATTGTGTTTGCACAGCAACCTGGGGTAAGAGGAGGCCAAGCACATCTAGCAGTCCGTTACGCACCTTGATGGCTGGTCATCTCCAGCAACAACTCAGTTTGATGTTATAAAGCCAGCAGTAAACATTTAAACATTGTTTAAACTCTTGGTT